CATTTTTAATAGTACCAGTTTTGGGGGCATAGTGTGGAATAAGGAGGTAGGGAAGCCTCCATTCATAATCTAAATCAACATGGATCCTTCAGGAACTATGTATACCAATTCCTAGAGCCACTTTGAAGATTATTATCCTGAGCCCTAACTTGTTTTTAAGAAAAGAATTTCCTTAAACTGCCCAGTCTTGAAGCCCACTTGCCCTTTCCTTCTCAGTTTTACATTTACATAAACTGTTACTACAGTTTTGGGTTTTTTTTTAACTTATTTACTTATTTTGAGAGAGAGAAAGGGCATGCACGTGCGTGGGGGAGGAGCAGAAAGACAGGGAGAGAGAGAGAATCCCAAGCAGGATCCACAGTGTCATCACTAAGCCCAAGGCAGGGCTTGATCCCACAAACCATGAGATCATGGTTCAAAACGATCTGAAACTGAGCCAAAATCAAGAGTCGGACACTTAACTGACTGAGGTGCCCCTACAGTTTTGTTTTCATTACTAGACAAGCAGAATCGGACAGAATTAGTATCTACTTCTTGAGAAACTATACTGTCTACCTTCTGCCAGTTGGAAAGAAACAGTCAAACAAAGGCAATAATAACATCATAAATTCCTTTGGTGGTGTTGTATACTATAAATAGTATCTTAATTATTTCCCTTACTCCACACCCCAACCCTTTAAGTTATTATCATAGATAAGGAAACTGAAGCTTATACCAGTTACAGTTTTTGCCCAATATCTCTTTAGACAGCAACAATACCATTAAAACTTGGGTTTCCTGATAAAATTTAGTATTGTTCTTCTTCAGAATAGTTTTCATTAATCTTAAATGATAAAACCACCCCAAGTTTCCTGACAACTGCAGTATATATTTGTACTGTATTTGAAAACTAATTGTAAATGACACACTTTTTAGAACTGGTCTTCCATTCAATCCTTCACACCTTTAATATTATACTTCATCAGTGGAAAAAAAATACTTAGTCCCTGCAGGATCCAAAATTAGTTCACTTATAAAAACATACCTAAGATTTCACAGTCCTCAGTGCCTTTACCTATACATTAAGGAGGTAACAGAATGTAATCCTACTGTACTTAGTAGGTTATGACCTACATGGAGACAACTTTTCAAAATAGCTGAGTTTTCCCTAAGAAAAAGAAATAGGAAAAAAATATAATCTTATCACATATCAGAAAGCTACAATATATATGAAATAATTAAGTGGTTACTTTTTCAATTTTTTATTTAAATTCTGGTTTGTTAACATATGGTGTAACATTGGCTTCAGGAGTATAATTTAGTGTAATGATAGCTTAAATCAACTGAAAAACAAAAATGCAACAGTCATCTATACTAGGGACTAGCAAACTTTTCTGTAAAGGCCCAGAAAGTAAGTATTTTAGATTTTACAAACCACATAGTATCTTGTCACAACTATTCAACTCTGCAGTTGCAATATGAAAGCAGCCATGCACAATAAATAAATGAATGAATGAATGTGCTGTGTTCCAGTAATACTTAACAACATAAATGGAGGGCTGGATTTGGCCTGCAGGCTATAGTTTGCAACCCACTTACTTCCTAATACACATGAAAAAAATGAAAGGTTACAGGATGAGATGACTAAAGAACAAAATATATTACTCTCTTTATTCTTCAGCTAACCTCAAAAGTTTTAATAAAATTAGTTTTTTAAAAACATTGTGGGGGCGCCTGGGTGGCGCAGTCGGTTAAGCGGCCGACTTCAGCCAGGTCACGATCTCGCGGTCCGTGAGTTCGAGCCCCGCGTCGGGCTCTGGGCTGATGGCTCAGAGCCTGGAGACTGTTTCGGATTCTGTGTCTCCCTCTCTCTCTGCCCCTCCCCCGTTCATGCTCTGTCTCTCTCTGTCCCAAAAAAATGAATAAACGTTAAAAAAAAATTAAAACAAAACAAAACAAAAAAAAACATTGTGGGCTCAGTCGATTAAGCATCCAACTTTGGTTCAGGTCATGATCTCATGGTTCATGAGTTTGAGCCCCGTATTGGGCTCTGTGCTGACAGCTCAGAGCCTGGAGCCTGCTTCGGATTCTGTGTCTGCCTCTCTCTCTCTCTGCCCTCCCCCACTCACACTCTCTCAAAAATAAAATGAACATTGAAAAAATAAAAATAAAAAATACTGTTAATTATTATTGCTTTTACACTTGGTAAAGGTATAATGAAGTTTAAAGCACTTATCTTTTAGGATACATACCAAAATATTTACAGATAAAATAATATATCTAGATCTGCTTCAGTATAATTCAGTAGAGGGAGCAGAGCGGGAACAGGGTATAGATAAATCAAAACTGGCCGTGAAAAATAACTGAAGAGAGGTAATGGGAACACAGGATTCATTATACTATTCTTTTATAAATATCTAAAATTTCCAATAAAAAAAAGTTAATAATGACAAATGATGAACCACAAATTTAAGTGCATTTGTAAAATTAACTATTTTCTCCATCTTTTAAACCAGGGTTTCTAAATTTTGGACCTATTTACCTTTTGGGCCAGATAGTTCTTTGTTATGGGAGCTGTCCTATGTGCTATGGGATATTCAGTAGCATCCTTAGTTTCTACCCACTAGATGCCAGTAGTACCCAAACCACCACACCTCCTACCAGTTATGACAATCAAAAATGGTCCCAGACATTTCCAAATGTCCCCCATAGGACAAAAATGCCCCCACTTGAAAACCACTGTTCTAAAAAAAAAAAAAAAATTACACTGCTGCTTCTAATAGAGTCTTAAATTCTAGAAAAATGAGACTTTGAGGATGTTTTGTTTTAGTCTTAGGCAATGAATTGGCATTTATATTTTAACCCAATTTTTAAATTTGGTTTTTGTTTGCAATTGGTAAACTGTTATTAATTCACCTTCCTCACACTATTTCATAGAAATACATACAGAAATAATTTATAGAATTACATCTGCCTGCAATGGTTTTTAAAACAGAAAATGCACAAAATGGAAATCCAAATGAGGACGTATGGTTGAAGTCCAGATGTATCCCACTGATCTGGTGACATAGTTTTCAAACTCTCAAAGAAATTATTTGTAAACACTTAGCCTACTGAGCCACACTCCAATCTCATCAGGTTTAAGTATCAACTAACCATCTGTTGTATATTTGAGTTCAATAGAGGAACAGTGCCAACTTTGTTCCCAGTCCCACAACTGCACTCCCATTGTACACAACACGTAATGTGAACAAGAAGTCTTTAGAAACACAAATGGCTAGATAGTCCCACGTTGTCAGGTGTATTAATTAAATTCTGAATCAGAAAGCACACTTTATAAAAAACGAGGCAAAAAAATTTTGTTTGGGGCCTCTTGCCTTATTAGCTATAATCAGAAAGGCCTTGGTTTCTTAGTAGTTGTTGCTACTGTAGTTTCTGGATTCATTAAATTAAAAAATGGGATACTGAACTCAGAGAATTTCATTCTATCTCTCCAAGCCATGACACAATAAAGTAACTGTCTCCCATTTACAAAACACTAAATTTAAATTGTCTTTCTTTCATTACCAAAAAAAAAAACCCTGTGATACTGTGTTCCTAAATTCACAACTAAGAAAGAAGTGACTTAAAAATTGCTACTGTAAAAGCAAAATCAAATCATATAATCTCATTCATAAAAACATGACAATAATGAAACTATCATATAGTTCATAAACATCTACATGCTAATTTAAAATTCAAGGGGCACCTGGGTGGCTCAGTCAGTTGAGCGAACGACTCATGATCTTGCGGTCCGTGAGTTCGAGCCCCATGTCAGGGTCTGTGCTGACAGCTCAGAGCCTGGAGCCTGTTTCAGATTCTGTGGCTCCCTCTCTCTGACCCTCCCCCATTCATGCTCTGTCTCAAAAATAAATAAACGTTAAAAAAAAATTTTTTTTAATAAATAAAATAAAATTCAAGTTCTTTTTAGACAACAGAAAATTACAGTATCAAAAATCACTTATTTACAACTACAACACCAATGATTCTTCATAGTTAGCTGTCAACTGTAAAAAAACAGTAGCTGTCAAAATACATTCAATCTGAGAAAAATGCAAAAGTAACTTAAGACTTCTCTTTTGAAATATGTGTCTTTAAAATGTTTTAATTAGTAAAAATAGGCTCGTCTACTAATTTACCCCTCAGAAATCCAAGTCCTGATTAAGCTTCCTCAAATGGGAGTATCATAAATCCAAGTCCTGATTAAGCTTCCTCAAATGGGAGTATCATTTGGACAAAATTACAACATTCTACCTAGTCTAAATTTGATAGAATTTTACTTATTCCTAAATAATCTTCCACTAGACTAAAACAGATGTGATTTTAACATTTTTTCAATAATGAGGTTATAGTTAACTATAACAAAGGAAGCCATCCTTCACACCATACATAGATTCTCAACTAAAATTCCAATGATAGTAAAAAATATTCATTTCCCTTTTAAAAGAATATACTCTAAATTAATTTAAGCATACACACACACACACACACACACACACACATAGTGATAAACACGCCGTGTAAAATTTTCAAAGATCCACATTAAAATCAAGAAACAATAAGACTAAACAAGTTCTAAATTACGGATTCCCTTATGAAAGGGAAAACAAAAAGCAAAGAAAGGCCTCTGAGTGTCACAGATCAGTAAAAATCTTGACCTACATGATCTATACATTCCCCTTCCCTCAACTTCCTCAGTATGATTTTTGGATGAATCCAATTCAGCCCCCAGCAGCATGGTGGTCCTACCATAGTAAAGGAAAACTCAATTCCTATCTTCACTTATGGTTATGGCTACAATATTGAAGAATCAAAAGAAAAACAAGAAATGCTTCATGTTATCTCTTGTCAAATTTTTCTTTTCAATCAGAAGAGCCTTAGGTGAAGATTAAACTTTAGGAATGAAAGCAATCCATCTTATAATATCGAAGTATAATTTTTAGGACATTAATTTTTACTTATGTTTCAAACAGTTTAATTACCTCTGCTTCTACATCCACATTTTGCTTCAAAAGTAACTTCAAAATGTCAACATGTCCATTCTGACTAGCAGCTTGCATAGCTGTGTGACCAGCACATTGTCCATTTACCTATACAAAAAAGAAAGGATGAAGGAATGTCACCAAGAGCCAATATATAATGTAGGTTTAAATCTAGCACATTGTAGGATTCTTTGAAAATAATTTAGGTTGGTTTTCCATATATCCTAGCATAGACCACCAGAAACTCTTCTGTAATTTAGAAGTGAGGCAGGCATTTTTTTGTTCGTTTGTTTTAAAGGTTAAAGTTCCACTGTTCAAAGAGCTATGAAAGAACTATTTTAGCCAATCTGAAAAGTTAAAAAAAGAAAGTAAGGGAGGGAGAAATGTCGTTTTAGTTTTGTATATTCTATTTGAATTAAAAAGCTCAGAGTATGTTTCAATGAAAAAAAAAAACAATGAGGTGAATAAAAACTTTCAGAAAAGATGGCCTACTATATAAATAAATTCAATTTGACAAAGATACTGAATACTAACTGTAAGCAAACTATCATGAGGAATACATAAATGAATTAGCAAGGTAGCCATATACAACTATTATATTATAAAGCAATAATTTCCAATCTTTTCTTCACTTCAGATGTTGAATAAATGCATAATTTCCCAATGACATACCCAAGGCTAAGTACAATTCCTTAATCCCACCCCATCCGCTCCCATCCATAAAACCATAAAAGATGGTTAAAAATGGTAGCCTGGTCACACGTTTATATCACATTTCTCCTCAGACTACACTAAAAAGACAGTAAAATAATTAAAAACACAAAAAGACATAAAGACAAAGAGAAAGGAAGACCTAACATCAGAAAACAATAAAAAGCAACACATTTTTGAAAGAGAGAAAGCAGACAGAAGTTCTGACTTTACAGACAAAAGAAACACAAAACCCAGGAACTTCAGACAAAGTCAAAGCCTGCAAAAACAAGCACATCACAGGGCTAAGAAGAAAAACCCCAGGCAGATGTCTGATGTGCAATGGCCACACTCCAGACCCTCTCCTCAAACTCAATGACAGAGCATTAGTTGCCATGCAAATAGACCCTAGACAGAAAAATGGTTTCTTTCCTTAAACATCTGAATAGCCATGAAGAACAGACCTCTACATGATAGCATTTAGAGACCCCAAAAGCTCCACATGCATAATCACCATAATGCAAAGTCAGTCACTAAGTTCTATCCAAGCAAAGAGAGCACCAAGTAGCTTAATGTCTTCTTCAGAGATGAATGGACAAGCTAAGATCAGAGATTTGAGGAAGACCTCAAATTAAAAAAATAACTTAAAAAAACACATCTTTCTCCTATGTTATCATCTCTCAGAAGATGAAATGAATACATACCTGACATAACTAAGTGTCTTGGAAGATTAGTCAATTAGAAGTTTGGAAAAGAATTAACTATAACAATATAGATTACAAACAAATGAAAAAAACTTTATGTGTGAAGTTAAGAGGGACTGACTGGGAAAAACTACAAGTGAACTTTCTGGAATAAAGGAAAAGTCCTAGATCTTATTAGGGGTGTGAATTACATGGATGTTTGCATTTGTCAAAACTTTTCCATGTATTTCACTATATGTAAATTACACCTCAATTTTTTAAATAAAAAAAAAATATGGACATCAAGGAAAGCAAACAATTGTATAGGAAAATACAATCTAGAATCAGTCACAGCTCAGATATGAATGTCATTTAAATAATAACATGCACAGTCGATTTTAATCTTAACAAAGTTACAATACAACCTAACCACATAAAGAAACTGGGAGGAGCGTGTATGTGTGTGAAGGGAATGGGCTGGAAAGAAAGCTGAAACCTCATTTTCACAGTGAAGTATTGAAAGGTAACTCCCCAAACATAAAAATCAAGAAAAAACAATAGATGTTACTGGAAGATATGGAGGCAAAATATATGAAGAAAATCAGCTGAAAGACGTGAAAACAGCTGCCCCTAAAGGATGGGAAAACAGAGTTGAGAAGGAAATGATTTTTGTAACAAACCCTGTAGAACTATTTTTTCCCTTTAAATTTTTAGAATGTATATTGTTTTAAAAAAAAAAACTAAATTAGTAATTAAATGAAGAAAAAATTAAGTATAATAAAATATAAATCTGCTTGGCTGAATATAAAAAAAATCTATCAAACACAAAAATCATTTGATACTTTAAACATTGATAATTTACATAATTTTGATAATTTAAATAAATTATTTGTGATATCTGACAATAAAGAAATCACTGTGCTGGGGCGCCTGGGTGGCTCAATCAGTTGAGCATCCAACTTCGGCTCAGGTCATCATTTCGCAGTTCCTGAGTTCAAGCCCTGCATCAGGCTCTGTGCTGGTGGCGTGGAGCCTGCTTGGGATTCTCTCTTTCCCTCTCTCTGCCCCTTCCCCACTTGCGCGTGCACGCACACGCGCTCTCTCTAGCTCTCTCTCTTTCTCTAAATAAACTTAAAAAAAAAAAAGGAATCACTGTGTTGTGCTGCTGCAACTAACATCTCCCTAATAAACATGAAATGCCACATGAGCTCCTGGGAATATGATGTTTATATCTTACAATTATAGATCAGATCTTCAAACTGTCTAGCATACTTAAATACAAAGGCAACAAACAGTGTCACAGAACAGTGACAATGACTCAAAGTGCCACTCCAACCACAATCTGGGCCAACATTGAACACTGTATTGGTGCTGACATGGGAGCAATGGCAAAGCCAATGATGACTAAACTAGAGCCAAAATGGCCCACTTAAAATATGGTTTATGTGAATGGTAAAATACAATAAACTACTAAGATTTACAAAATGTATGACCTCTACTTCATCTGCATTCTAAACTGTAAGTCAATTCTCACAGGAAAAACGTTTAAATGTTTTGAAAAGAGGGATAGAAAACTGCTTATAAAATTTACTACAATATATTTTAAAAACATGGTAAGATGACATCTCCATGAGAAGAATTCACTGAATTTCCCAAAAGGACACTAACCACTTAAAAACCTAAATGTAAAAATTATCAATTATAGGGGCACCTGGATGACTCAGTCGTTTAAGGGTCTGACTTCAGCTCAGGTCATGATCTCATGGTTTGTTGAGTTCAAGCCCCACATCAGGCTCTGTGCTGACAGCTCAGAGCCTGGAGCCTGTTTCAGATTCTGTGTCTCCCTCTCCCTCTGCCCGTCCCCTGCTCCAGCTCTGTCTTTCTCTATCTCTCAAAAATAAATAAATGTTAAAAAAAAAATTTTTTTTTAATTATCAATCATAAATTTAGGAGGTCACAATGTTAAAATAAGAAAATGTCAAGATCTTTTAGAAAAGTACACTGAAGAATGATGTCCAGTGTCTTTAAAATACCTCAGAGAAAAAAGGAAGAAGGAATAGATGAAGCGCAGTTGGAAATTAATTGGACTTAAATGAAATTACTGAACTCTAATGTTCATTATACTATTCTATTTTTCTGTATGCTTCAAATAATTTTTAAAATGCTCACATCCACATCTGGTCTTTTTAGCAAATCTTCCACTTTAGCAACATCTCCATTGGCAGCAGCCTTAACTAATTCTTCATTGAGGTCACCAGATTCTTGGGTTTCAAATAATTTCTTCAAGAGTTGGGAGAGTCTTTCTGTAAAGCATCAAATAAAGCTGCTAACATAGGAGGATCTCAAACCTTAACTGCTAACAGACAAGCATTACCCATACATCTAGAACACATACTTTTCCTTTTTTAATATTTCTATCATCAGTGTTATTTTTGTACGCTACTACAGATAGTACCCAGGCAAGTTATAATTACTACCATAGAAAGCTGCATTAAATTCCAACCCATAAGTATTCCCAGCTTTCTCCAATTCATGTATTTCAAGTTATAACTTCAGAAAAAGTAGAGAGTTAGAGACAAGTAACAATTCAAGATTTAGAAGCCATACCAAAGATAATCACAAATAAAAACACTACAATGGGAGTATTATAACAATACAAACTTTCTTTCAGGTTTTAAGCATATCACATCAATTCTCAGATCTCAATGCTACAGACCTTAGAATAAATCAACAAATGAATGATTATGATTCAGAAGCAACGTACTCTCTATAATATTTGGGGAAACGTTTTAGGGACAAACCAATTTTCAGTTGAAAATGGTCATCTAAGTGCCAACAACATACATATTGGTACTGACTAACAAAAAAGAACTAGGGGCATATTTATATAGACTCATTGTCATAAGATATTTTTTCTAAATAGCATTAATCAGTAGAGACATTACCCAGTACCATCCCTTAATTCTTAGATCTACTTAGTAGAAAGCAAAGAAATCACCAAGTGGACCACCACCAAGTACACATGATTTGAGTAGGATATTAACCATCCCTCGCTCTTTCAATTTGTAGTAGCCAGTTGGCTGTAATGCCACCTAACCAAAAGGTAAAAATAACACCACCTAATTTAAACTTTAAGTACACTAGCAAATTACAACAGGAAAGAAAAGACAGCAGTAGAGGAAGTAGAAAGCAGTACAAAATAAAACTGGAGGTCGCCCAATGTTTTCCTTTACTTTCTTATAATTTATAGTTATGGTTCTATCTTCTTTTCTGAATGCTAATACACAGTAATTTGTTTTAAAATGAATTGAGGTTATGTATATAAAGCTGGAGCACAGGAAGGAAAGACTTTGGGCATGAGTCTACCCGAGCATCCAGCTTATTCACATTTCAAAATGGTGTTCTACTTATTGTGGCATGTATAATAACTCTTATTAAACAGTAAGAAAGAAATATGGCCGATATGTAAAAATATCCAGGAAGAAAGCCATCTGCTAGCAATAACATTGAAACTAAAAAGAGAATAAAACAGTCTAAGAAAGTGATAAGTTCTGACTAAAGGGTACAATATTGAATTAACCCTTGATATAATATCCAAGAAAAAGCACCTACTTATGGAAATTTTCCAGGGCATACCTCAGCCAGAACAAAAACTGTTCACCATATGAAAAAAAGAAAAACAAAACAAAACAAAAAACACCTGTAGTGAAAATGCAGAAGTTAGTTGACATTCAAGCGAGGTTATCTATGACATTATCTGTACATGAGAACTGAGGAATTAGCAAAGGTTCTAATGTAAACCATATTACTTTTAAAGAAACACGATACAAACATACCGCCAGATGCATTGCTAATGGCTGATCCAGCAGATGCCACCTTGGAAACTGCTGCTGGATTGTATGTCCAAGATGTTCCACAAACTTCCACCTTTAAATCACTGTCTGAATAAATCTGCTGTACTCGGCCAACTTTACCTAAAGTCTTAAAAAAAAAAAAAAATTTTAGTTCATGTTGTCAAGTCTAAAGTACGTACCATAAAAATAGATCACCAGTTCTTACACGTTTAAAGTATTAATTTTTCTTTTTTACTAAAGAAAAAACATTTAAAGGACAATCATTTTCAAATGGGTTATTTACAAACTTTAAAGAGCATCCCTAAAAAACATTTTAATAAACAGGGCATCTGGGTGGCTCAGTCAGTTTAGTGTCCGACTTTGGCTCAGGTCATGATCTCATGGTTAGTGAGTTGGAGCCCTGCATGGGGATCACTGTTATCTGTGCCGAGCCTGCTTCGGATCCTCTGTCCCCCTCTCACTCTGCCCCTCCCCTCCTCACACTCACTCTGTCTCTCACTCTCAAAAATAAACATTAAAAAAAAATTTTTAATAAACAAAACTACTATACTTCCACAAGAATATAAAAACAAGGGGGTCTGAGTGGCTGACTCAGTTGAGCATCCAACGCTTGATTTCAGCTCACATCATGATCTCATGGTCATGGGATCAAGCCCAGCACTGGGCTCCATGCTGACAGTTCAGAGCCTGTTTGGGATTCTCTCCCTCTTCTCTGCCCCTCCACCGCTCGTGCATGCACACACTCTCTCTCTCTCTCTCAAAATAAACTTAAAAAAAAAAAAGAATATAAAATCAAAAATATCATGACAGTCTATCATTTATAAAAGTTCACAAAATTTTGCTTTTTGATATTCAACCTTTTAATCCCATAATCTTATGTTACATCTTGAGAATTTGTAAACTGAATAGTCTAAAATCCATCATTAATGTAGCCTAAAAAAATAAAACCTGATTTCTAAAACAAATTACTTACACCAAAATGGGAATCAGTACTGATTCCAAGACAGAAGTAGGTAGAAATAACATGCTTATTAAATATACAGGGAAAGGGGCATTTGGGTTCAGAACACAATCAGCGGCAACTCTTACCATGTGGCAGATAGTATTCTAAGAGCTTTATACATATTGACTTACCTAATACATAAAATCCTGAAAATTAAACTATTAGCTCCATTTCAAACTCCAGTCCAAAACCCATTCTCTTCAACACAAGAGAATAGCAAATTACAATACTAGAAAATTAGTTTAGAATATTGACAATATCTGACTACTTCCTAACACAGAGTAAACTGCCCTTGATTGAGTGCTTTATTTTTTGATCTCTCCACAGCATTGGACCCTAGCTTCTTGAAACTATTCCTTTGATTTCTGAATGACAGTCTAACCTTTCTGCCTATTCCTTCTCTTTCTTCACTCACTGGCTCCTTGTCCATTTTCAGATCCCTAAATCTATTCATTCTTCCCCAAATTTTATTCCTTAGTTTTTTACTCTTCCTCCTTAAAAATGTAATCTACTGTGACAACTATCACCTTATTTCCAAAGACTCCAAAATATAATTCTATAGCCCCATTTATTCCTCTCTCTGCCCTCCAACACACACCAATTTTAACTTCTCATTACACATTTCCTCTTGGAATTTTTCATCCTCTCAAACTCTATGAGGCTGCATTCCTTGTTTTCCCCCTTAACCGCTTATTATAGAAAGTCTCGGGGTGCCTGGGTGGCGCAGTCGGTTAAGCGTCCGACTTCAGCCAGGTCACGATCTCGCGGTCTGTGAGTTCGAGCCCCGTGTCAGGCTCTGGGCTGATGGCTCAGAGCCTGGAGCCTGTTTCTGATTCTGTGTCTCCCTCTCTCTCTGCCCCTCCCCCATTCATGCTCTGTCTCTCTCTGTCCCAAAAATAAATAAACATTAAAAAAAAAAAAAAAAAGTCTCAAACATACATAAGAAGACAATAGTATATTGAATCCCTGTATACCCATCAACTCTTAACAATTTTCAGCTCATGGCCAATCTTATTCTCCCCTATCTATTGTTACTCCCTGTACTATTCATCACATAAACTTTAAAAAAAAACAAACCTGATACTACTACCAACCCTCCCAAAATTATCAACTCTGTAATATCATAAAATACCAGTGTTCAAATTTCCAATTGCTTCATAAATGATAAAATTCTTCAGTATGCTTAAATCAAGTTCCAATAAAGTCCAAAATAAAGTCCAATAAAGTCAGTATGCTTAAATCAAGTTCCAATAAAGTCCAAAAATATATGTATACATATATTTTTCTTTGCCAATTATTTGTTGAAGAAACAGGGTCAACTGTCCTATAAAGTTTCTTACAATCTGAATTTTGCTAATTGATATAATTTAATAAATTCATCTTTCTCTGTATTTAATAAGAAACACTTCAAATTGGCTGCTGGATCCTTTTAACATGACCTAGAAATCTTTGATAGCTTCCTTGCTACCTGGTATGAGACTCATCTTGTTCACTTCCAAAGAGCTAGAATTAGCCATTTCTCCAAAGACTGGTTTCTATACAGAGGGAAAGGCTATTTCAAGACTGTAATCTGGGGGCACCTGGGTGGTTCAGTTGGTTAAGCGTCCGACGTCAGCTCAGGTCACGATCTCGCGGTCCATGAGTTCGAGCCCCGCGTTGGGCTCTGGGCTGATGGCTCAGAGCCTGGAGCCTGCTTCTGATTCTGTGTCTCCCTCTCTCTCTGTCCCTCCCCCATTCATGCTCTGTCTCTCTCTGTCTCAAAAATAAATAAACGTTAAAAAAAAAAAAATAAAAAAAAAAAAAAAAGACCGTAATCTGGGCACTAAGGTTGGTATTGTTATTAGAATGGTTACTGTTTCTAGGTCTTTTCATGGACAAAGCTAGGAAATAGTGGGGGGGAAGGGGAGGAGATGTTTTGTTTTAATGATAAAATAAATCATAAGTTCAAACATTCTTCCAATTCAAATTCAAGACTACAGGGTTTTTACTTAGCCTCTTCTATGTTACATTCATATCTCCTTTTCCCACTCTGATCATTCTGTTTCTCAAAGTCACTGGGGATAACAGAATTAAAATTATCATATAACTACTCATTTGTTTTGTTTTTTTTGTCACATCACACATAAAACAATCTCAGGATAATAATATTAGCACTACCACAGACAACAAGATCAATGAAAATTGTTAAAAATCCCTTTTTATAGGCAGTTCTTTAGTGTATATTCTTCCTAAAAAGATATAAAGACAAACAACTGTGTTAAAAATCACCTGTACTTTTCTCTGTACAGTTATGCCAACAGAAAACACATTTAGGTTCATTTATTTCATTTTATTTTCTACTTTCAGGAACTTCCTTTTTGAATTTAATTTTGCTTAATAATTGTATAAAAGATATATGTGGTTTTAAATCAAATCTATAAAACAAGATATATTCAAAGATGTCTCCTATCTACCTTTCTCCCTACACCATATTCCTTTTTTTAGATATGAAACATGTTTAACTTCACGGTTAATCCCTCCATTGTTTGCTTTTTGTCACATGAACTCTGCATTGTCCTAATTAGTTATACTTACAATAATACTAGTATTTAATACATATATATATATATATAAAACCTTATTCCCTCTTCAAAAAAAAAAAAGAGAGACAGAGTGAGTCAATTGGTTCCCTAGTATGTACAACATTGAAATTAGTCATTCATGTTCTTACCCTTACCTTTTTTCTCCCTAATATTTTGGTTTAGAAAAACAAATATATGATTTCATTCATATATGTAATTTAAGAAACACAACAGATGAACATAGGGAAAAGGAAGGAAAAATAAGATAAAAACACAGAGGGAGGCAAACCAGAATAGATTCTAAAATACAGAGAACTGAGGGGTACCAGAGGGGAGATGGGGGAAGGGGGATGGGCTAAATGGGTGATGGGCATTAAGGAGGGCACTTGTTGGGAGGCACCTGGGTGGCCCAATCAGTTAGGCATCCGACTTCAGCTCAGGTCATGATCTCATGGTTTGTGAGTTCTAGCCCCACATCGGGCTCTGTGCTAACAGCTCAAAGCCTGGAGTCTGCTTCAAATTCTGTTTCCCTCTCTCTCTGCCCCTCCCCCACTCATGCGCGCGTGCTCTCTCTCTCTCTCTCTCTCTCAAAAATAAAAACATTAAAAAAAAAATGTAAAGGGGCATTAAGGAATCTACTCCTGAAATCATTGCTTCACTATATACTAATTTGGATGTAAATTATAAAAAATAAAAAATAAAGTTAAATTATTAAAAAAAAAAAAGAAAAAAAAAGGAAGGCACTTGTTGGGATGAGCACTGGGTGTTATTTGCAAGTGATGAATCACTAGGTTCTATTCCTGAAACCAAGATGATACGGTATGTTAATTAACTTAAATTTAAATTAAAAAAAAATATATATATATATATAGGTTTAAAATAATAGTATTTAGTTCCACATAATAACTAAAAGGCAATCGAGCAGCTTGCTAAACTTTCCATATATGCTCTCTCCATTCCCACCCCATTTTTTGAGTTATACTCTATAAAGTTACATTTTATCTGTGTTGTTAGAGCATAAAACCATTATACAGACTCTACCTCTTCCTTTAACCATCATGTAATCTTAGTTCAACAAATAAATACATATTTAATGATCACTATCAGCTTTCAGTTGATATCTCTCATGTCGGTTGTCTGAAACACTTTTCAGGAGATTAATCAGAAAAAGCTAATGGGAACAAGATTCTATAAATTCTTACATGTTCATAGCAACTTGTAGCTTTTATACTTGAAAGTCAGTTGGTTATATATAAAACTCTTAGCTTACATTTTTGTTCCTTGAGTACCTTAAATAAATGTTATTTCGCTGAGATCACAAAGCACAGAGATCAGTTTTTTTCCTTAACAATAATCTGATTTTCTTTTCTTTGTAAGTAAAACTTGACCTTTTTCCCTAGATACCCAAAGAATTGTTTTCTTTTCTTGAAGATTCAATTATTTACCAGAAAATGGCTCAGTGTTTGGTGTTCTCAGTTTTCCCAGCTATACAATGTATCCTTTTAATATTTAGCTTTAAAGTTTTTAATTCAGGGGCATTTTTCCTGGAATTACAAATTTTAGTAGCTTTATAGTCCATTGCTTTGGCTTTTGTTTTTCCTTTTTTGCAAGGACTCCTAATACACATATATTAGGTAATCTATATTTGTCACTTTCCCTGAAATACTTTTTACCTTTTTTATTTAAAAAATTTTCTTCCTTTTTACCTTGTTTCTCTTAAAGGCATTATGTTATATTTATTTGATGTGTTGCATCAAGCTTACTCCTCATTTCTGAAATTATCTTTCCTTTTCAATTCTTTCCTAAGTTCTATCACCTCATTTCTAATTATGATCCATTTCAGAGTGCCTGGGTGGCTCAGTCAGTTCAGTGTCTGACTCTTGATTTCAGCTCAGGTCATGATCTATGGTTCATGGGATCTAGCCCCGCCTCGGGCTCCATGCTTACAGCTCACAGAGCCTACTTGGGATTCTCTCTCTCTCCTCTCTCTCTCTCTCTGCACCTCCTCTCCACTCATACCCTTTCTCTCTCTCAAAATAAATCAATAAACATTAAAAAAGTATGTAAGTTCTTTAAAAATAAATAAAAATTAAAAAATAATTATGATCCATTTCACTCATCTTTTATCATTTTAATTTGTTAGCTCATTTGAATCATTAGATTTTAGTTTTCTGTGATATCTTCTGTACTTTCGTTTGTAGAGAAGTTATGCTATTCCTTATTGTCTTTTTTCAACAATAATTATGTATGGGGATTTGATTATGATCGCTTCAAACTTTTATCCTTCCTCTGTCCCTACTGTCTCTATCCTACTCAATTTAGTTTCTATTCCCAGCACCTTCTCCTTAATGGAGGGCTCTGCCCAGAAAGGGAGCTATAGCTGATTCATTCTGAGTGTTTACAGATTCAGGCTGCTCAAGCCCCTTCAAACTTTGGCATGGACCTATTACCCTCACCCCAAAATGAGGTCTGCAAAAGCCCTCCCAGGTTTAGCTGTTGTTTCCACCCTCATCTACTATACTAGCCAATGAATACTTGTTAGCTATATTGGAGCTCCCTTGTTCTTGGGTCCATCTGATCCCCATTAATTCTCTCTGCTGCCAGACAAACAGATATAGACCCAGTAGCTGTCAGTGTTTTCTCACTACTCATTCATATTTTAGGGTTCAATTGGCTACTCTGTCACCTGGTTTTAATATAGATGCTTGCGCCTTTTTTTTTTTTTTTTTTGGTTATGCTAATCTAGTTGTTGACTATTTTTATCAAGACAATTTAGGAAAATTAAAATTCTACACCATCACCAGTGGAACCCAAGAATTCCCCTCTAGCTATAACCTACAGGTTTTGCTTATATAAAAGCTTACTATGGGAGATAGAGCACTTAGGCTTTGAAGTAAAACAGATTTGAGTTCAAACTTCAGTTCAGAAACTTAGCTCTGATTCCGCATCTTTAAAATAAAGATGCCATACAACCATCTGCTTATAATGCTCCTATGACAAAGTCTGTGTATGTGTTTGTGTGTGTACACATATCTGTGTGTGCACATGTGTGTGTGTGTGTGTGTGTGTGTGTGTGTATATATATATATATCATTTAGCACAGTGCTCAGAATAACTAGGCACACAAAAGACATACACTGCTATATATAAGCTGTCACTGCTAAGGGGAAAAACAAAAACATTTTGACTATAAAAAAATCTTAAATAATATATGTATCTCATATAAAACATGTCAAAAGATTTCATTTAATTAACATAGGCTTAAAGTACATCAATACATTTTTTAACCAATGTTACTATCAAAAGCAAACAAAAGGCACATGGGTGGGTCAGTCAGTTGGGCAGCTGACTCTTGATTTCAGCTCAGGTCATGATCTCACGGTTTTGAGATCCAGACCTGCACTGGGCTCCTCACTGAGCACGGAGCCTGCTTGAGATTCTCTGTTTCCCTCTCTCTCTCTGCCCGCCCCCCACTAGTGCACCTGCATGTACACTCTGTCTAAAAATAAACTTTAATAAAAGCAAACAAAAGATCATATGGAACTTAATTTTTTGACACCAGAATTCTAAAATACAGCTCCTGCAACACAGACAACTATCACTTAGTCACTACCTACCTAAAACAATAAAAAAATGATGTTGGCAGCATCTGCAAACTATGAAATGTCTTGGAATGAAAACACCATAACAATAGATTTCTTTGTGTCTTGTTCACTACTAAATCTTTGAAGCCTAATAGGTACGTTGTTTGTGCTAAAATATCTGCCAAGGGAGCAAGGCAGAAAGGAAGGATGGACTGATGGAAGGGCAGCACAACATGAAGGACAGGGAGGGGGTAATGGACAGGATGGGAGGAGGCAGAGGGCTAGACGAGATAGGAGATGGTGCTGGCCAGGACAGAGCACTAGACAATACAGGATAGGGGGATGAGACATGAAGAGAGATGGGAGGGGGGGTACACAGTAAAGGAAGGAAGCACTGAATGGGATGGGACTCGGGTGGGGGGTGGGGTGGCCAGGATAGGACAAATTTTGTGACTGGATGAGAAAGGAGTAGGGGTAGCAAAGTGGAGGGCTAAACACGAGGACACAGCAAAGTGGAAGGAAATGGGATATAGGGCAAGAAAGTATGGGGGGCAGCAGAACAGAACGGGTAGTAGTACAGAAGGAAGGGACAGAAGGTAAGAGCGAGGGACAGATGGAGAAAGAGGATGGATGCAAAAAGGGCAGAACAAACAAATTTTTCTGTTATTCCTGAACATTTGGAGAAAAATGTGTCGAATGAATAAGTTAAAAATTACACCATAACTCTTTGGGAGCAAAGGCAGCTCAGATGGCACACATTCAGAGTTGCTCTTTCATACTCTAAGTTTTAGAGGCAGGCCCCCAACTAAGGAAAGCAGTGGTGGTCCAGCACTGCTAGCAACTGGATGAGCATCTCTCTCTCATTCTGGGATTAAGTATCAGGGAAGTCCCTGTTACCTTCCACCTACATTACATTCTCCAGTAACAGCTCTTTAAAACACTACTAACTGTAGCCCTACATGGACCTTCCTGGGCTAATTTAACTGGAACAAATTAGACAATAAAAGACATAAGTATGCCTAGCAGCCAATGAAAACAGAGAGAGGCACAGAGTGCAACTAAGGGAGGGACAGAGAGAGGGAGACACAGAATCTGAAGCAGGCTCCAGGCTCTGAGCTGTCAGCACAAAGCCCAATTTGGGGCTCAAACCCATGAACCGCAAGATCATGACCTCAGCTAAAGTTGGACGCTTAAACTGACTGAGCCACCCAGGTGCCCCCAAGTACAATTCTTGAAGAATTATGCTGATTTAGTTTCCAAACTTCAAATATTTTTTAAATCTACACGCGTATAATGTAATTCCTAGTCTAAAACTGTTTTATTATTCCTAGTGTGAAACTATTTTAGATATACTTACTGGGAGCATAGCTTCAGCCCATTCTCCATGTCCTCTCTGTAGAAGTTTGATTCTTTCCAGATCATAACAAACTTGTACAAGATCACCCACTTGAAACTGTGAGGTACCTCCTTCTGCACCTTGAGCAGCATCCCCACTTCGGACAATGTTTGCTTTAGTGAGAACGGCAGGATTGAAGGTCCACCTAAAAATCAAAGGCAAAACTCAAAATAGGTAACTTTACTTAATTTTAACACAACATTCTTAAACATTGCAGGGCAAAAAAATTTTCTAACACATGAGCACAGTAAAGCAATCCTTTGCAATTATGTCCTGAACAATTTATTTTCCCTTTTATAATTACACATATTTAAGGAAAGACTTACCTGTAATCTCACACCCTAATACGATCCTTCTGTCTAGTTTCCCCTTACGTTTTAAAAATTGTTATAAAATACACTACTGTTAAATATTAAAACCTTTCAGAAACATATAAAGTGAAAGTGAAATTTCCATTTCACACAAACACACCTGGATCCCCATCCCCTATCCCATCCCCAAACCACTGTAAATACTCACTGTGGTGTCAACTATACACTTCAATTAAAAAAATCTAATGAAACTGGGACACATACACTCCATTGTGTATCCCTGTGATCTTCTATTAGTGCACTGATACTTCTAACATACAGAGTTGCTTCCTTTTTCATAAACAGATTTTATATATTTTATATTTATATGTATGTATATATACATATATACACATATATACATATATATAAATAAAATTCTGGGACTTCTTTTTTCTCAGAGAATGTACTTTGGAAGATTTATTTTCAATGTCACAGAAATAGACCTACTTATTTCAATTCAGTGGCTACAGCAGTCCATTACATGGTTATACATTAATGCATTTAACCATTCTCCTACTATCTTTTAAAGTATTTCCAAATTTTCACTATTACAAACAATACTATAAAGAACATCATCGTATGTACATCTTTGTGCAAACAGGGTCAGTATTTCATTAGTGATTCTTAAAAAGCCACCTAATCACCATATGTATTTGTTTACAATTCCGACAGAGCCAAATTGGCTCTAGAGAGTGTAGTGTTTCTCCATACCATTAATAATCTCATGGATAAAAACAATATCTAGTTTTAATTTGTCATACATGGGTATTTCACATGACTGCAATCACTGCTACACATTCTTCTCTGCTACACATAAGCATTTTTCTTTTTTTTTTCTTTTTTTTTAAAGTTTATTTTGTTTTGAGAGAGAGACAGAGTGCGATCGGGAGAGGGGCAGAGAGAGGAGACAACACAGAATCCGAAGTAAGCTCCAGGTTCTGAGCTGTCAGCACAGAGCCCAACGTGGGGCTCGAACTCACAAACCATGAGTTCATGACCTGTGTCAAAGCTGGACACTAACCGACTGAGCCACCCAGGCGCCCCCATTAAGCATTTTTCAATGCTGTTACCATTTCTGTTCCCCCAGTCCTATATATCACTCCAAAGAAAAAAGGTTCCCTGAATAAGCTTTTACAATATGGCACTATTATATCCTCCTCTATTTAATTTAAATGAGAGGTCTTAACATATAAAAACCTGTTACTAACTTCCTGTAACCATGGAAATAAACTCTTCTTTCTAAAGCAACCACAAAGAGAAAGAAGTGTCTCTGACCAGTTAAGAATAAAAATCAGATATGCAAAGATTTCTTTCTATCTAGGGGTGCCTGGGTGGCTCAGTCAGTTAAGCATCCGACTTCGGCTCAGGTCATGATCTTGCAGTGCGTTCAAGCCCCATGTCAGGCTCTGCACTGACAGCTCAGAGCATGGAGTCTGCTTCGGATTCTGTATCTCCCTGTCTCTCTCTGCCCTTCCCCTACTCACATTCTATCTCTCTCTCAAGAATAAAGATTTTTTTAAAAATAGTTTTTTAAGATTTCTTTCTAGCCTTACAATCAGTGCTTTTTTTACCTTGCTCCCAATATTCCAAAATTTATTTGACCTATTACAGTGCTTGAAACACGGCAGTACTTACTCGAGTTGTTCCCTCTGCCTACAGTGCCTCCCTCCCTGGTGAAAACTGACTCCATCTTTTAAGTTTACTCCAAAGGTAATTTTTTCTCTGAAGTTTTCTCTGATTTGCCTACCTGAAATGACCACTCTTCTTTTGTACCTTCAGAATACCCTGAATACTCACCTATCGCAATTACATTTTAATGCAGTTATTTCTGGTTTTATCCATCCGAACTAAAAAGGAAACCCATGCAAAGCAAGGGACCATGTCTTAATTGTCTTTGAAATCCCAGAGCTAATCACAGGGCTAATACAGGATAAGTACTTAATAAATCCTTGTTAAAAAAACAGAACAGAAAAAAAGGTTATTTTCTAGAATTCATATTGTGTTACTGTTAACACTACTGCCCAAGTTCTGACCAAGAAAGAATTTGGCAAGTAATAATGCCAATTTAGCTTAACATTTCCAAACAACAAACAAGATAACACAAAATGTTAGTAAAAAGTAACACTAAATGTCAGTATGTACTAAACTGAACTTAAGATTTTCTCCTCTTTTTATTAAGAGCTTTGAGATAAAATTCACATTCCATATAGTTCCCTCATTTCAAGTGTTTAATTGGGTGGCTTTAGTACATTTACAGCCTTGTACCACCAAGCACTATCTAATTTCATTTTCATCACCATAGAAAAATACTCCATGACAAGTAGCAGTCAATCCACGTTCACCCCTCTCCCTGGTCCTCAATAATTAGTAAGATACTACATATTTGGTTATTCTGCATTATTTTACAGAAATCACATAATACGTGACCTTTTGTGACTGGCTTCTTTCCAGCATAACATTTTCAAGATTTATCTATTTGCAGCATATGTCAGTATTCTGTTCTCCATTCCTTTTTATGGCTGAATAAGATTCCACTGTATGGATACATCATATTTTGTTTATCCATTCATCAGATGATAGACATTTGGGATGTTTCAAATTTTGGCTGTTATTAAGAATGCATCCACAAACATTCATGTACAGGTTTTCGTGTGGACACACTTTCAATTCTCTTTTTTTTTTTAATTTTTTTAACGTTTATTCATTTTTTTTTTTTTAATTTTTTTTCAACGTTTATTTATTTTTGGGACAGAGAGAGACAGAGCATGAACGGGGGAGGGGCAGAGAGAGAGGGAGACACAGAATCGGAAACAGGCTCCAGGCTCTGAGCCATCAGCCCAGAGCCCGACGCGGGGCTCGAACTCCCGGACCGCGAGATCGTGACCTGGCTGAAGTCGGACGCTTAACCGACTGTGCCACCCAGGCGCCCCAACGTTTATTCATTTTTGAGAGACAGAGAGACACAGACCATGAGTGGGGAAGGGGCAGAGAGAGAGGGAGACACAGAATCCGAAACAGGCTCAAGGCTCCGAGCTGTCAGCACAGAGCCCGACGCAGGGCTCAAGCCCATGAACTGCGAGATCATGACCTGAGCCGAAGTCAGATGCTCAACCGACTGAGCCACACAGGCGCCCCTCAATTCTCTTGAGTGTAAACCTAAGAGTGGACCAGCTGAGTCATATGCTAACTATATTTTCAAAGCATCAAGACCAGTTCACATTCCTATTATCAGTGTACGAGGCTTTGGTTCTAATTTCTCCACACCCTCACCAACACTTGTAATTATATACTATTTTATTCTAGTATGTGATTTTGAATTACATTTCCCTACATTTACATTCCTCATTGTGATTCTGAATTACATTTCCCTACTAACTAATTGCTAATAATGTTAAGCATCTTTCCGTAGGTATTAACTCCTAACTTCTACTGTGACTGTATTTGGAGACAGAGCCTTTAAGGAAATAACTAAAATTAAATGAGGTCAGAAAGGTGGGATGCTAATCCACCAAGACTGATGTCTTCATAAGAAAAGGAACAGATTGAGGAGATGTCATTCTCTGAGCATGCACAGAGAAAAGGCCATGGGAGAACATAGTGAGAAGGCAACCAACTATAAGCCAGGAAGTGGTCTCAACAGAAACCAACCCTAATGGAAACTTGAACGTGGACTTCCAGCCTCCAGAGCTGTAAGAAAATGAATTTCTGTTGTTTAAAAATCCTTTGTCCATATTTTAAATGGGTTAGTTGTCTTTTGTTGTTGAATTATAAGAGTTCTTTATATATTCTAGATACAAGTCCCAAGTCTGGCATATGATTTGCAAATATTTTCTCCCACTCAAAGTTTCCTTCAAAACACAATTTTTTAATTTTGATGATGTCCAATTTATTCACTTTTTCTTTGGTCCTTCTGCCTTGGGGGTCGTATGTAAGAAACCGCTATCTAATCCAAGGTCACACAGTCTTATATTTTAGGATTTAAAAGTACATTTCATCGGGGCAGCTGGGTGGGTCAATGGTTAAGCACCCAACCTTGGCTCAGGTCATGATCTCGAAGTTCTTGAGTTCAAGCCCTGCAGCGGGCTCTGGGCTGACAGCTCAGAGCCTGGAGCCTGCTTTGGATTCTGTGTCTCCCTCTCTCTCTGCCCCTCCCCCACTTGTGCACGCTCACTCTTGCTCTCTCTCAAAAATAAACAAACATTAAAAATGCATTTCATCAGAGCGCCTGGGTGGCTCAGTCGGTTAAGCATCCGACGTCAGCTCAGGTCGTGATCTCGTGGTCCGTGAGTTTGAGCCCCGCGCCGAGCTCTCTGCTGACAGCTCAGAGCCTGGAGCCTGTTTCAGATTCTGTGTCTCCCTCTCTCTGACCCTCCCCCGTTCATGCTCTGTCTCTCTCTGTCTCAAAAATAAATAAATGTTAAAAAAAAAATACATTTCATTGGGGCACCTGGTTGGCTCAGTCAGTTAAGCATCCAACTCTTAATTTTGGCTCAGGTCATGATCTCATAATCGTGAGACCAAGCCCCACACTGGGTTCCGCACTGGGTGTGAAGCCTGCTTAAGATTTTCCCTCCCTCCCTCTCTCTCTCATTCCTGCCCCTCACCACTCACACTCTCTCTCAAAAAATTAAAAGGAAATAAAAAGTGTATTTTCATAGGGTTATATCTACTATAGATAGTGATTCCGCCAATGAACTGGGAAAAGTAAACTGAAAACCTTTGGGAGTGGATTCACCGTTACAGATGTCATTGAGAACATTTGTGATTCATGGGAAAAGGTCAAAATATCAACTACTGTTGATCCTGTATATCCTGTATATCCTGTATATCCAACTACAGGAGTTTGGACGAAGTTGATTTGAATGTTTATGGACGACCCTGAGGGGTTCAAGACTTCAGTGGAGGAAGTAACTGCAGATTACTAGAATTAGGAGTGGACTAGAATTAAGAGTGGAGACTGAAGATATAACTCAATTACCATAACCCCATACTAAAACTTTTGAACAGATGAGGAGTTGCTTCTTACAGATGAGCAAAGAAAGTGGTTTCTTGAGAAGGAATTAAATCCAGGCAAAGATAGGGTGAAGACTGTTGAAATGAAAACAAGGATTTAGAATACTGCATAAACTTGGCTGATAGAGCAGAGGTAGGTTGTCAGAAGACTGACTCCAGTTCTGTTAAGAAGTTCTATTGTGAGTAAAATGCTACCCAACAGCACTGCATGCCACAGAGAAATCATTCATGAAAGGAAGAGTCAATCAATGCAGCAAACATCACTGTTGTCACCAGAAATTGCCACAGCCACCCCAACTTTCAACAACCACCACTCTGATCAGGCAGCAGCCATCAACACTAATGTTGGCAGTAAAAAGTTTTCAACTCGCAAAGAGCTCAGATTATAGTTAGCATTTTTGGACAATATTTACAGTATAACTGCACATTTAATAGATTACAGTATTGTGTAAACATAATTTGTATACACAATGGGAAACAAAAACTTCATTTGACTCTCCTTATTACAGAGGTCTGGACCGAACCTGCAATATCTCCAAGGTATGCCTATATATATTGTCAGCATCATTTACTGAAAAGACTATTCTTTCCCCACTGAACTGTATTGAATCCTTGTCAAAAATTAAATGACTTTAAATGCAAGGGCTTATTCTCAGACTCTCCGTTATGTTCCATTGATCTATACGTCCATCTTATGTCAATAATAGGTTGTCTTGATTACTATACCTTTATCATAAATTTTGAAATTAGGAAGTGTGAGTCCTCCAATTTTGTTTTTCTTTTTAAAATTGCTTTGGCTATTCTGGGTTACTTGAATTTCCATATGAACTATAGAAATAGATTGTCAGTTTGTATAAAAAAGGTACTAGGGTTTTGATACAGATTGCATTAAATTTGTTGATTAGTTTGGGGAAAAACTGGCATCTGTTATAGGCTGAATTATGTCATCCAAAAAATATGTTGAACTCCTAATCCCCAATACCTCTGAATGGGACCATATTTAGAAACAGGGTCATTGCAGATTTAATCGAGTTAAAATGAAGTCATACTGGATTAGGGTGGGCCCTAAATCCAATGATTAGTGTCCTTATAAGAAGGTCATGTGAAATCAGCTTTGGTCATTTTCTCTGTAAAAGATTTTAGAATTATCATGAGCTCAATTAACTTACTTCTATGTTTCCTCAGGGTTCTTTCCTCATGGATGGTTAAGCTGCACCAAAATAAAATATTGGGCTGGAGGACTGATCATATGGCTCTCAGTCTCAAACAGTCGATTTGAATGCATTTAAAATAAAATGTGTACCCCCCCCCCAAAAAAGGAGGCCACGTGAAGACACAGGGACACACAGACTCACAGAGGAGAAGGCCATGTGAAGACAGAGGCAGAGAAATGAATGATGCATCTACAAGCCAAGGAACACCAAGGATTGCCAACAACCACCAGAAGTTAAGAGAAGCATAGAACAGATTCTCCCTCAGAGCCTACACAAGGAACCAATCTCCCTAACACCTTGATTTTGGACTTCTAGCTTTCCAAAACTGTGAAAGAATAAGGTGCCATGGTTTGAGTCACCCAGTTTGTGGTAATTTGTTATGGCAACCCTAGGAAACTAATACACAATCTGAACAATATCAGATCTTCTGGTCCATAAATATGAGATGTCTTTCCATTTATTTAGGTCTTCCGTAATTTCCTTCAACAATGTTTTGTAGTCTTCAGTGTACAAGTCTTGCAATTTTTTTTTTTTTAAGTAATCTATACATCCAACATGGGGCTCAAACTCATGACCCCAAGATCAAGAGCTGCATGCTCTACAAACTGAGCCAGCAAGGCTCCCCAAGTCTTGCACTTCTTGGGCTGAACTGATTCTTAGGTATTTTATTCTTTGTGATGCTACTGTAAATGAAACTTTTCTTAATTTCATTTTCAAATTGCTCATTGCTAGTATACAAAAATACAATTGACTTTTCTACATTGATCTTGTATCTCTCAACTTTGCAGAACTCACTTATTAGTCCTAACAGTTTTCTGTGGATTCCTTAGGTTTTTCTATTCACAAGATCATGTCACCTATGAACAAAGACGGTTTAACTCCTTTTCTCTTACTTCTTCCTTTTATTTCTTTTTCTTGCCTAATTGCCCTGGCTAGACCCTCTAGAACAATGCTGAATAAAAGTGGGGAGGGCAGACATTTTTATTTTGTTCCTGATCTTAGGGGAAAAGCATTCAGTCTCTCACCAGTTGGGTATGAGGTTAGCTGTGGGTTTATTTTATTCATTTTGTGTGTGTGTGTGTGTGTGTGTGTGTGTGTGTGTGTGTGTGTGTGTGAGAGAGAGAGAGAGAGAGGGAGAGAGAGAGAAAGAAAGAAAGAGAAAGAGAAAGAGAGAAAGAGAGAGAGGGAGGGAGGGAGAGAGAGAGAGAGAGAGAGAGAGAGAGAGAGAGAGAGAGCGCATGCACACAGGGAAGGAGAAAGAGAAGGAGAGAGACAGAATCCTAAGCAGGCTCTGCACTGTCGGTGTGGACCCCAATGCAGGGCTTGAACTCACCAACACAAGATCATGACCTGAGCCAAAATCAAGAGCTGGATGTTTAGGGGCGCCTGGGTGGCTCAGTCGGTTAAGCATCCGACTTCGGCTCAGGTCATGATCTCACGGTCCCTGAGTTCGAGCCCCACATCAGGCTCTGTGCTGACAGCTCAGAGCCTGGAGCCTGCTTCAGATTCTGTGTCTCCCTCTCTCTCTGACCCTCCCCCGTTCATGCTCTGTCTCTCTCTGTCTCAAAAATAAATAAACATTAAAAAAAATTTTTAGAATAAAAAAATAAAAAAAAGAAAGAGCTGGATGCTTAAATGACTGAGCCACCCAGGCACCCTAGGCTGTGGGTTTTCATAGATGTCCTTTACCAGCAAAGAAGTTCCCTTCCGTTACTACTTTATTTAGTGTTTTTATCATGAAAGGGACTTGGATTTTGTCAAACGCTATTTCTGTAACTCCTGGTATGACCACGTGTATCCTTCAGATTTGAACACAATTAGAGCTAATTCTATACACTGGGAAACAACTTAATGTTAATTTTCTTCATCCTATATATAACCCCTCCCCTAAGGAACCTCAACAAGTTTCTTTATGCATATATCAGTAACAAAGCTTTGACAATTGTTCAATTTGACTACTGCTTTTTCTTTAAAATACTATAAACGGGTGCATGGGTGATTCAGTGGGTGGGTTGAGCATCCAACTCTTGATTTCAGCTCAGGCCATGATCCCAGGGTCATGGGAATGAGCCCCGTGTTGGGGTTCTTGGGATTCTCTCTCTCTCTCTCTCTCTCTCTCTCTCTCTCTCTCTCTCCACCCCTCCCCTGCTCTTTCTCTCTCCCTCTGCCCTCTCCCCTGCTCATGCACATTCTCTCTCTGTAAAATAAAAAATAAATACTTTTTTTAAAAAATAAAATAAAATACTATAAACATGCCAGTAAATTGAATATACTTTAGCCCCTAAGAGCAAATAAATCAAAGGCTCCAAGAAACTCACAACCTAGATGTAAAATAAATAACTATTTTCATATATAACAGGAGACCTACACATATGAATAGCATGTACATATACCAGGGATTGTGGAATAAGAGAGGAGGTTCCCAAAACATATAAGCTCAGTATTTACAGGATGCAGGAGTTAATCCAGGCAAAGAGGCAGAAAAGGATATTCTGCATGGAAGAAGTAGTATGTGCAAAGGTAGAGAGTGAAGAAATGCATGTAATTCTATGTTGCTAATAAGGACTGGTGTATTCACACGTCTGTGGCAAGAAAAAGCTATGGTACCAAGAGATGACTGGAGATATGGGCCAGAGTTCTAATTTTATTCTCATTCAGGGCAAACTGATATGGTGTATTATGAACAGAGAACTTTTTAGCTGTATTTGATCTAATACCAATACAATGTATTCTCCTCCTCCAGAAAAAAAAAAGTGCACAGAATATTGTATCATAAGCATATTCATATATATTCACATACATACCACACACACATTTATCATTTGTTCCGCTCCACTTTACCAACATATTCTGGATTTTTAGCTACTATCTTAAGAGCTAGCTTAAAGGAGTCTTTGATTATAGCACATTATTTGCTTTCTCTAAGATTCTTTCTTCTATATACTAACTTTATTTGCCATTACTAAAAATCAAGAAATATCACCAACCTATTGCCACTTGGATACTGTACTACAATGTCATGATCTTCATCAATGCCACAAACAGTTCCAGTTGTAGTTAAAGTCTCAAACATGCCATCAGTCCATCCTCCATGACCGTGCTGCAAAGACTGTACAATTTCTAGGTCAAGATCTATATTCACCAGGTCACCAATCTGCAATCCACCAGGATTCCTGTTGCCATTCTGCTCACCTGTAATTGCAGAGGGAGTTGACAAAGGTAAAGGAAAACCCCTGCAAATAGCATGCAACTGTATTATTTTTAAACAAGAGCAAGCTCTAGATATTTTAGTTTTAGTTACCCTCCAATTTTAAAATGTTTTGAGAATATATTTTAAGTATCAAATTCTGGAGCTAGGAAGCTTCAAAAATAAGAAGAAAAAAAACAATCAGACTCACAAATTGAAATAATGTGATGATTCATAACAACAACCGAACAATAACCCTATATCAAAGTACAAAGTTCTGGGTTTTTAAAATGTTCACTTTTCTGCCTGGATGACTTGTTGACTATTCCTGCAATAACTACAATTAGACAGTTATTGAGGTTCAGTAACAAACTACAGCCACCATAACCAGCTAGAGCATATGAAAGAGAATCTTAAAATTATTTTCTTCTCTGAAGTGCTTGGTACTATTTTTTACCAAATGGCCCTTTTGATTTTTTTTCCTAAAGAGCATCTTTAGATATTTAAAAGCCCATTCCCTATATTATTCTCAAAGCTAGGTCTGGGATAGGGGCACCTGGGTGGCTCAGTCAATTAAGTGTCTGACTCTTGATTTCGGCTCAGGTCATGATCTCACAATTTATGGGTTCCCACCCTGCACTGGGCTCCAAGCACTGACAGTGTGGAGCCTGCCTGGGAATCTGTCTCTCTCCCTCTCTCTGCCCCTCCCCTGCTCGCTGACTCTCAAAATAAATAAATTTTAAAATTAAAAAAAAAAAAAGAAAAAAAACCCTAGCTCTGGGATAAAGGATTCATGATCATAAAACACTATGATGAGGGATCCAAAAAATATGTTGATTCTATACTTCTCTTGTGAAAGCAAGATCCAAAAGAAGGAAATTTCTGAAACATGGAAAAGGAATGATCTTGTCAAAATATAAGTACTTCTTCTACAGTCCTTAAAAAAAAAAAAAAGAAAAAGAAAATCAGGGTATGCTGCAAAAAAATAACACTTTTTGGCCAGAAGGGAAATCAAATGATTTTAAAAAAGGAACACAGAGCTCACATGAAAAGGCAAACATTCACAGACTAAAACCTTAATCTGAATACTGTGGTAAATGTTTACTGTGGCCACAATAAAGAATCTATAAAATAAAGAATTTGGTTTCCTTATCCCTTACTTTAATGGCACATGAAAAATTATATTTATTATATAACCTTAATCTTCAAACCTTTTTTGTATTAAGAAGGCAATTTCAGGGGTGCCTGGGTGGCTCAGTCTGTTGAGCATCAGACTCTTGGTTTCAGCTCAGGTCATGATCTCATGGTTCGTGGATTAGAGGCCCAAGTCTGACTACATGCTGACAGCTTGGAGCCTGCTTGGGATTCTCTCTCTCTCTCTTTCTCTTGCTCTGCCCCCTCCCGCCCTCAAATAAATAAAACTTTTTTTTAAGGCAATTTTATAAAACTTCTAAGGAATTTATAAGCATTAAATTGTCAGATTCTATTCTCAATATGTAAGACATACTGATAACCTAACACAAAATTTTTCAACACTACGTTTATAACTAAAAGACAAAGTTTCAAATATGACATATAAATGGTATACCAATTTTTAAGACATGACAACCTTTTCAGTCTAAATAAATTGATAAAATAGAACAAATGCTTTAAAAAACAAAATAGGGGCGCCTGGGTGGCGCAGTTGGTTAAGTGTCCGACTTCAGCCAGGTCACGATCTCGCGGTCCGTGAGTTCGAGCCCCGCGTCAGGCTCTGGGCCAATGGCTCGGAGCCTGGAGCCTGTTTCCGATTCTGTGTCTCCCTCTCTTTCTGCCCCTCCCCCATTCATGCTCTGTCTCTCTCTGTCCCAAAAATAAATAAACGTTGAAAAAAAAATAAAAATTAAAAAAAAATAAAAAATAAAAAACAAAATAAAACCCAAAAAGTATCCCTTAAATAACTTTTTTTTAAAGTCCCATTTAAAGATTTCTGATTCCAAGAACCCTGACCTGCTAGTTAGTAATTTCTCTAGTCTGCTGACTCACCTAGCACAGGGCAGTGATCTCTGTAGAAAGAACCTCCTTTGGCATCCTGGACACACTTGAGATCAGACTAAGAAGAAGAAAAGAAACCAGAAAAATCATGCTTGAAAACTTCAAGTATAGCTCAGTACCTAAAATAGGCAAAAATGTTCATTCAGAACATACCCTCAGCAAAAGTTAAGAGTAGCTCTAGGTTAACAGTAACACTAAACACTGCTTTCAAAAGCACTCATCAAAAATTAAAAGCCTGATCTCCAGATAGGCCATACTTTACTTTTAGCTTTCCTTTAAAGTTCAAAATGAAAATGCCTAGATCTTCACCACTAAAATATTTTCAACACCACATATAGGCCCTCAACAAATACCTAGTATTTAAAATGTAACTAACACATTCTATTTTAAAAATACTTTTACAAAAAAGAACTCAATTCATTTACTCTTTTCAACCAATTTTATGACATATACAAGCCAGGTATTAACTCATTTAGTAAAGAAAAGTATCCAAAACTAAACAACCAGAAAAAAGAAAAGGATAGGACCAAATTTAGTCTTTTGGTTCCCGGCCAGGTAATTTTCCATTTACATAAACTTTAGTCCTTACTTCATAAATTGATTAACTCAAGTTCCTTCCCACTTAGTTTTTATAAGAAAACATACTATTATTTAAATATCTGAATGGGGAGGCAGTGATATAACCAAAGTACAGAAAACATGAACTTAGAAGAACCTTGAAAGTTACTAGGAAAATTTAGATTTAAAAGTATCTAATAGTTCCTAACGTACACATACACACACACACACACACACACACACACACACACACACACACACACACACAGAGACTCTCTTTTACAGCCTCCTTTCCCACCAGAGCATCACATTTAGCTCAGTCTCAGCCAAAGAGACATGGGTCAAATTATTTTAATGTGATACTTTAACCCAGCAATCCCACTTCTAGGAATCTATCCTAAAGAAATATACCCATAAATGTGCAAAGATATGTCTAAGGATGTTTACTGAAACAATGCTTACAACAATTAAAAAAAAAATCTTGCAATAATTTTAAAAAATGGAGGTACCACCAACAGAAACCTTATTAAATAATGGCATAATCATACAGAGAAGTACTACTCAGCCATCAAAAAGGATCAATCTACGTATACACTACTTATTAAATACCTCTACACATACATCCTGTAAGGCTTCATCTGAAGCAAGTTAATAATCAGTCAGAATTCCCAGAAAAATCCACAATTTAAAAACAGGAGAAGGCATAAAAATACTAATAATACTAATACTAATGAAAAACTGATAACTAATGGAATATACAGGTATTAAAATTGGTAAATGAAGTATTTGCTTAGAGTCTACATTGCTGGCTTTTAAAAATAAATGGAATAAATTAAAGGCAAACAGACAGTGGGATATTTTTCCCCTCCTACCAAGGGCATATAAGAGTTGGGAAAAAATCCAATTTAAATTCTTTGAGGAGGAATGTATTCAAGATGGAAAAGATATGATAGGCATTAATGTTTTGGCATTAATATATTTAGTTGTACTTCATAAATTAAATAGCCGAGGTCAACATTTAAACAGTTTTCCAGGAAATGCAGAAATATAGGGCAATCCATTGAATAAACCACTATTATTCTCCTAAGCACTTAAGTAATTTAAAGTGCTTCTAAGTCAATCATTTTCAATTACCAATACTACTCTTTAAAAAAGGAGGGGTGCCTGGGTGGCTCAGTCGGTTAAGTGCCTGACTTGATTTCAGCTCAAGTCTTGATCTCAGGGTCATGAGTTCAAGCCCTGCATTAGGCCCCACGCTGGGCTTGGAGCCTACTTAAAAATAAATAAATAAATAAATAACCAGAATAAAAATTTTAAAAATAAATAAAAATAGAGGGGGAAAATCTCTTTAAAAACAACTTTTTTTTTTTTTTAATTTTTTTTTTTCTCCAACGTTTATTTATTTTTGGGACGGAGAGAGACAGAGCATGAACGGGGGAGGGGCAGAGAGAGAGGGAGACACAGAATCGGAAACAGGCTCCAGGCTCTGAGCCATCAGCCCAGAGCCTGACGCGGGGCTCGAACTCACGGACCGCGAGATCGTGACCTGGCTGAAGTCGGAGGCTCAACCGACTGCGCCACCCAGGCGCCCCTTTAAAAACAACTTTAACATCTACTGTAATTTATACTTTTATTAGCTACTAGAGCCAGAATACAAACATCCCATAAAAACCTCATTATAATATTATACTCTGTGTCCATGCCAAGGAGCAGCCTTACAGATGATTCTAAATTTTTTTGAGATCGATTTTAATAAATAAGCCCCTAACTTGGATTCCTAAGGGATCAGCTCTACACAATCAATATATAGTAAGTTACCCAAATATTCACTGAGGGCAAAATCATATTTACTATTTTTTTCTTTTTTTTTTTAAATTTAAATTTTAGTTAGTTAACAAACAGCGCAAAATTGGTGTCTGGAGTAGAATTCAGTGATTTATCACTTTCATACAATACCTAGTGCTCATCACAAGTGCCCTCCTTAATGACCATCACCCATTTATCCCATTCCCCTACTCATCTTCCTCTATCAACCCTCGGTTTGCTCTCTATTGTTAAGAGTCTCTTATGGTTTGTTTCCCTCTCTTCTCTTTCCACTTCCCACCCCCCACTTTATGCTCTTCTGTTTCATTTCTTAAATCCACATATGAGTTACATCACATGGTATCTGCCTTTCTCTGATTGACTTGTTTCGCTGAGCATTAAACATTCTAGCTGTATCCGCTTTTTTGCAAATGGCAAGATTTTATTCTTTTTGATGGCTGAGTGATATTCCATTGTGTATATATGTGTGTGTGTGTATACACACCACATCTTCTTTATCCATTCATTAGTCGATGGACAAGTGGGCATATTTACTATTACATACTTTAAGCAAGTGTACTAAAAATGTAGTTTTATTAAATCCTCACTTTACAGATTTTTCTCCTGTTGCATATTCATAATTCAGATGGCTATATTCTGACAAAAGCATATGACAAAAAAAAATACAATAAGGGCTATTTTTATTTTCATCTATCTAATATTTTTATCTTTTGTGACTCTTACTACTCACCATGCCCTCAAAGCCAACTCTGTAAAGGTTCTTAGCACCATTATCCCAGAGAACATATGCTGCACTATGTGGGCTTGATGCACTCCAGTCCTGGATTTCCGTTACCTAAGGGAATTGTTGCAGAAAACAATTTTTAAAAGGGAAGGGGAGAAGTTAGTTCAGTTAATTATATTTAAAATCTTAAATACCATTTCAGCTATCATCCTCTGTAACAGGATCATGAAAAATACTATTTTGTCAACTAGGTCAATTCTAATATATAACTGAATTATAATTAGAGACATTTTTCCAGGAATTATAAGGTAATTCCAAAAATCATTGTAGAAATACTGAATTGGGAGGCTTGGTGATTATAGTAACAGATCATCAGAAAATACACAATTCAATATAAAATGTTAGATTTATATTCTTAAAGGGTTCCTTTTAAGAACAGTGTATTATTTTAAATCCATTATTCCTTACAAAATTTAAAATCTTTGGCCAGATCCTCAGAATGATTCAAGATAAACCGGCTCTCTAGGGGCACCTGGGTGGCTCAGTCGGTTAAGCATCTGACTTCGGCTCAGGTCATGATCTCGTGGTTTGTGAGTTCAAGCCCTGCATCGGGCTCTGTGCTGACAGCTCGGAGCCTGAATCCTGCTTCAGATTCTGTGTCTCCCTCTCTCTCTGCCCCTCCCCCACTCATGCTTGCTCCTGCTCTCGCTCTCTCTCTCTCAAAACTAAACATTAAAAAAAATTTTTTTAAAGAGAGTTTTCAGATGACCAAGACTTTTAAGTTTATTTATTTATTTATTTTGAGAGAGAGCGAGCATCTCTCTCACACACACACACACACACACACACACACGAGCAAGGGAGGGGCAGAGAGAGAGAGGGAGACAGAGAATCTCAAGCAGGATCCACACTGTCAGTGCAGAGCCTGTTGCCGGGCTCAAGCCCACAAACTGTGAAATCATGACATGAGCCAAAATCAAGAGTTCTGACGCTCTTAAGAACGGAGCCATCCAGGGGCGCCTGGGTGGCGCAGTCGGTTAAGCGTCCGACTTCAGCCAGGTCACGATCTCGCGGTCCGGGAGTTCGAGCCCCGCGTCGGGCTCTGGGCTGATGGCTCGGAGCCTGGAGCCTGTTTCTGATTCTGTGTCTCCCTCTCTCTCTGCCCCTCCCCCGTTCATGCTCTGTCTCTCTCTGTCCCAAAAAAATAAATAAACGTTAAAAAAAAAAAAAAATTTAAAGAACGGAGCCATCCAGGTGCTCCAATGACAAAGACTTTAAAATCATCATTCACCAATGCTAAAAACAATTTTTTCAAGAAGGTAACAGTAGAATGAACGGATAGTGACTGACATCTAAGTCTCATACGTGAAATGTTACTCATTTCAGTACATCTAGCATCTAGCATAACACCAAACAATACATGTTCAAGGTTAGTTGACTGACTGATGAATGAATAATCAGCAAAAGCAACATAAAATCCAAAATAAATGAAACCAACAACCCACTTACCCCAATATCTCTGGCTATCCCACCCCAATTAAACAGGCTATACAAAATTCTGCTCAGAATAACTGCTATAATTTGATTCCTGGACGATTTACCTGAGAAGGGCAACAGAGTTAAGTATACTGGATAACAAAAGTAGCTGCCTAGAAACAGGCCTTCAAGGGAATGAAATATAAAACAAGTAAATTCAAGTGAAATGTTAGTAACAAGAATGTCAAAAGCATGACATACTGTTTAAGAAGGACTGGCCCAAACAGGATCCTCAGAAAAGCATTCTGGGCAACAAAATGGCAATATGAAGCCTAAAAGTGGAAAGGTAAAATCTACCCAACAACCTTCTCCATGAATGTCAATATTTACAACCGAGCAGGAACAATCTTTTTTCTTCCGGGAAAAAAAAGAAATGAAGATTTTAAAAAACTGTTAGTGACACAGGAAAAAATGGGCCAAGAAATTCAATTATAATAATAAAAATCTTCTGAACATACAATATTCTAGAATAACATGATGAATTAATAAAAAAGTTTCACCTTTCCCCTACGTCCATTTCCTCCATCCTGATCTTCCCACTGCCAGTCCACTCCTCGTACCACTCTGGCACCTGCAAAGATCCCTCTGGCTGTAATCTTCTTAGATTTTCTACGAGACTCTAACAGAACCCTAGAAATAAAATTATTTTTAAGTTATACAGAAATAGGTTAAAAAAAAAAGAAATAGGTTAACAGCAATTTATTTTTAAAAATAAAATTATAAAAAAGGTTACTTTAAAAATATAAAAGAGTTTTCTCTGTTCTAGTTAATACTAATAGCATGATACATAAATACCTTTACATTCCACAGGTTATGATGATGATGACAGTAGTTAGAATAGCGATAATATCTAATATTTACTGAGCTTTTACCATAAGTGTAAAAGTCTGTTACACTCCTTAAGAGAAAGGTATTGTTATTTTATCCATTTCACAAATGAGGAAATAGAGTCTCAAAGAGGTAAGTGATTTACCCAAGGTCACAAAAGCTAAATAGTAATGGAATCAACATATGAATCCAGTCCAACCACTTCAGAGTATCACTATTTCCTTCACCACTTAAGAAGAGACAAATTCAAATCTCTAAAACCATCAAGAAAGTAACCTAAATTAAGGCCAAAGAAAGACAACAAACACCACAACAATGACAAATGCCAACTGGCACTTGACCCCACGCTCAGGAAGACAATAGGGAGTGGCAGGGACTTCCGTGAACTGAAGACCATGATTTGTCTAAAGGGTGCAGGTGGTATTCTGCTTCAGCCAACTGTTGCTGACCAGAGTTAAATGAATAAATGCAGGCCCACTGCTGACATTAGGGGTTAGGGGTTAGGGGTTAGGGGTTAGGGATTTGGGGGTGTGTGTGTGTGTGTGTGTGTGTGTGTGTGTGTGTGTTCAAAAATTTAGAGCACAGTATGGACCAAGTAAAATACATCCGTGGCCTGGATTTGACCTGACACTAACTTGCCTCCAAAGTATTGAATCCTTACAGCAGACTACAGGCCTTGAAAAAATTCTATACTCAAACAATCTGGACCAGCTTGGCTCTCCAAGACCATCTATCCCTTATTCTTCTATATCCTTCTTATTCATAAAATCAAAAAGGTTTGGGGTTTCTCTTTTGTTTTTCTACTTTTATCTCATTATTTTTACAATGTCTTTATTGTACCCTAACTTTAAAAATTATAAACAAAAGTCAAAAATAAACAACTTGTTCAAAACCACTCAGTTAATAAATAGCAGGCCAAGGATTTGAACTGGGACAGGCTAATACCCAAATCCATTTTTCTACTACTGCTGCCTCCCTATGACTGGCTAGATTCTTGCTCCTATACACTATTCACATCTATGTAAAAAGACTCAATCACCTGAAATTCTGTACCACTTCGTGATATTCCTCTCTCTCTTTGCTAAAACACTTTAATGCTAATAATCTCTACATACAGTCCAAAACATCACATGATAATCATGTTGGTCAAATAATCCCTTAGTTTATGAACTCCTTAGGAATACTGTGTCTTCGTTTTCTTCAAATTCACATAAGCACAGTAGCTGCCACAAGTCTTAATAAATGCCTGTTGACTCAATCAATGGGCCCTAGTGTTCTTTTGGTAGTGATTAACAGAATAGAACAGTGAGAAGAAAATAATCAGCCTTCTGGGCTGCCCTTGCATTTCCAAATATTGAGGGGTGCCAAGTCTCCATGCTAGAGATGAACAGCCCAGATTACCTTGGAAAAATATGTACAGCTCCATCTTCACAGAGCTCTTTTCTCACTATATGGCAGGCCTGCTCCACAACTAGCCTGTTATCTCCTACCTCTGGTACTAAACCAGCTGTCAGACACTATTTTTAAATCCTACTTTTAAGGCTCAATAGTATAAAAAGTTGAATACAAACAAGGAATTGCAACTGAAGAAAAAACTGTTTACCCTACCGCTCACTTCCTGGTGTAGTAATTCTATAAAAGCGATGTCTTAAATGATGTTTATCTCCATGATAACAAACAGTGCACAAATCATAATTTGTACATTCTGCACATTTCCATCGAATGCCAATGATTGGTTGCTGGCGGCAGGTATCACACATGGTTCCATCATGCTTGATGCCTATTAAAACACGGATACATGGTTACATTAACTGCAAGTATTATTCACTTGAATACTGCTCCCTGGGGGAAAAATAAGAACGGAGCATTTTACAAAGTTTCTTAATAAAGTAGGAAATAATATTTTAAGTATACCACATATGTTTTCAAGACAACATATTTCAAGAATTTTAATCAATACAAATTATAGACTACACATTTTCTATCACTTCTTTCTTCATTAGTAAGAGCACTTCTTAGTAGCACATTCTATGCTGTCAAACTGAAACTTAAGTTCAATCTAGTGACAGAAAGAAGAATCATTTACCACCAAGATGTTTCAGACTTCAAACATTCAGATTCTTTTCAGGAATTTCAACCTACTCTCCATGCAAACAATTACTCCAAAAGAAGAAACAAGTTTATCCCCATGATTCACAGAGACAAACTATCAATTAACTTAAGCATTTATCCCTAGGCATTGACAAGCTCCCCACCCCAAACAAACTTCAGAAAACCATTACCAAGTAAATTTCCCAGTTTAAAAGGAAACATACTATAATTGAGTTTGCTGTTTGTTTTCCTTACAGAACAAGAAGTAATAAACCCTAGAAAAAGGAAATAAGCACTTGGCAATATGACCTCTACTAAAAATGTTCACATGAATGACACAGACGTTAGAACTATGAAAGGTACCACTATAAAGTAATGAAAATAACTAACATTTGAGAGTAACAAGACTGGGGATAATGTTCCTTTACTATTCTGTTATTCTTAGATCGCTTGATAAGTAAGTTAAAACTAGAAGCTTTTTAAACAATGTGTGGCCTGTGAACATCAGTGTCACTACTTTACAGTAGGAATGGTCAGGCCCAACACTGAATAGCAAGGGCTGTATTGTCCATTGAACGCGGACACTCTTCAAGATTCGAGTTCTGGCTTTCACCAGCTATCTTTGTGCCCTTGAAAAAGTCATTTTAACTGAAGTATTTACATATAAAATTATAGTATTTATTTCAAAATAATGGGGGGGGCAGGGAAGTAATGTGGGGTTTGGATGAAACAAGATCACTCATGTTGAAATTGGGTAACAGGAGGAGGTTCATTATATAATTCTCTATTTTGTGAAGTTTAGAAATTTCCCAAAATTAAATAAAAGGAGTCACTTTAGTTCTCAGAACTTCAGTTCCCTTTGGAGGAGGCATTATGTTTTTTAATGGTTAAGGATGTTCTAAGAATCAAATAAGAATGTGCTGTAGATGCAAGAATTAGAGCACAAAAGTAGTAAAGTTAAAACTAAACTCCAGAAGGACATACTATTGCTGCTTCCTGATAAGGGGGGGAAAACCCGTATAATTCATTTTCTATATTCATGTTTAAAGTCCCATAAGGTAACCAGATTCTAAATAAAGAGCCAAACCCGAAGATAAACCTGTGCCTGAGGTGAGATGGTTAATAAAGAAGGGGTGGGAGGAAGAACAGAAGGAAGCTGGGATGCCTCATGAACTACAAAAAACATGACACCCAATACCAAGTATGTTTGGTGTGCAATCCTTCCACAATCTCCTGCTACTCAAATGCTTGACTGCAGGGACAAGCAAGACAGCAGACATCAGTACCTTTTGATTCATTCAGTAACTATTTTACTGCTACTGCGGGCAGGCCCTCTGCTGCTTTCAAATATCACTCTAGGTGTAGTACGGAGAAGAGAATGGAAGAAAATTAAAGTGGCTAAAGAAAAGGAGTCAAATCATAAGAAGTTTCCACAACAGTTGAGAAGAAAATAATAGTTTAAGTAGGTATAAAGCTAGTAGAATTGGAGAGAAAATGGAAGCCAGAAGAGGTTTAGGACTTGGTGGCTGCAGGTTAGAAAACAAAAGATGTAAAAAGTAACTGAAAAAAGTATAAATGAGATCATTCAAAACAAAACAAATAGGTAAGAGATATTTAGGAACAAACAGTGCAATAAACTGAAATTTAGAACTGTTCTACTTAAAAAAGAGAGAGAGAGAGAGAGAGAGAACCATGAACAAAAAAATAAATAAGCACATACTAATTTAAGATTGTAAGTCCAGGGGCGCCTGGGTGGCTCAGTCGGTTAAGCGGCCGACTTCGGCTCAGGTCATGATCTCGCGGTCCGGGAGTTCGAGCCCCGCGTCGGGCTCTGGGCTGATGGCTCAGAGCCCGGAGCCTGTTTCAGATTCTGTGTCTCCCTCTCTCTCTCTCTGACCCTCCCACGTTCATGCTCTGTCTCTCTCTGTCTCAAAAATAAATAAATGTTAAAAAAAAATTTTTTTTAATTGTAAGTCCAGGCCTCCATTGATAGACACTCATCTAAGAAACAAAATGAAAAAAGAATCAGGACAAGTTTCCTGGAAGTGGTGGATAATGGACCTTTCACAGGAAGAAAGAAGAAAATCTCAGAAGAGCACAATGTGTGTTCAACAAACCAGGAGCAACTTCATTTTTTTGGCAGGAATCTGAAATACTGTCAGAGACAGAGATGAATTATAGTCAGGCTGGGAAATAACCACGTAACACATGATTTCTGATTTGCAGACTTAAATTGTTGCATTAATGGTAAAAACAAGGGTATGTGATTTAAGAAACTAGTTCTCTAACTTACTAGCTAGGTAATGTTCAGAATTAATTTAAACTACTCTGGGATCAATATTCTCATCTATAAGTTGAGAAAATACTTCCTTTCATAGGTGTTATGAGCTGAATGTGTTCCCCACCCCCAAAAATTCATGTGTTGAAGCTCTAACCCTCAAGATGCTGATATTTGGAGATGAAGTCTATAGGAGATAAGTAGGTTTAGAAGAGGAAATGAAGGTGGGGTCTCCACAATGAGATCAGTGTCCTTAAAAGAAGAGAAAGAGGCTAAGAGGTCTCCCTCTGCTGTATGAAGACATAGCCAGAAGGCAGCAAGCCAGGAAGACAGTCCCCAACAGGGTACTGAAATTAGCCAGCACCTGGATCTTGGACTGCCCAACCAATAAATAAATTCCTGTTGTTAAACCACCTACTCTGTGGTAGTTTGCTATGGCAGCCCAAGCAGACAAAAACAATAATGGAACGGGTCCTTATGAAGCTAAAGTGATATATAGAGGTAAAAACACTGAAAGATTTTAAAGCAAATTGCAAATAAAAAGAATTATACTGCACTTAATTTTTTTTTTTTTAACGTTTATTCATTTTTGAGACAGAGAGAGAGCATGAACAGGGGAGGGTCAGAGAGAGGGAGACACAGAATCTAAAACAGGCTCCAGGCTCTGAGCTGTCAGCACAGAGCCCGACGCGGGGCTCGAACTCACGGACCACGAGCTCATGACCTGAGCTGAAGTCGGCCGCTTAACCGACTGAGCCACCCAGGCGCCCCTATACTGCACTTAATTTAATCTTAATATAGATTTGTTAAATGTACTATTTATCTATTTAAATAATTTGGTGATCAAAATCATCATATATCCCAAGCAAATTTGGCAACTTATGCAGAAAATCAAAGAACTTTTAGGGGCACCTGGGTAGCTCAGTTGGCTGAGCGTCTGACTCTTAATTTCGGCTCAGGTCATGATCCCAGTATGTTCTGAGATCCCAGTATGTTGTCAGGCTCTGGGCTGAGTATGGAGCCTGCTTAAGACTGTGTCTCTGTATCTCTCTCTCTCTCTCAAAAAACAAAACAAAACAAAAAACTTTTAAATTCTCTATTTCCCAGAGACTACACATACAAAACATTCAATTATTCACACATGGAGCCTGCTTAAGATTCTCTCTCTCTCCTTCTGCCCTTCCCCTGCTCATGCAAGTGAATGCTCTCTCAAAAAAAAGTTACATCCAAAGATACTAAGTTGTTTGTAAATACAAACAAAACTTAACCTATGTCAAAAATAGGGACTATGTATAAACTATGATAATCTACAAAGTGAAATTCTATGCAGTTATTAAACCATGTTGTAGAAGAAATATTACTGATATGGGAAAATACATGTTTTTAAAAACCCATTATTATGTTATAAAACAGTTTGCAAAGAACTGCAATATACCATCACAAAATACATAAAACACACACGTACAGAAAAACTAGAAAGATAGTCCCCAAAATGTACTGGTGGATTTACCCTTTGTGGGTTTCCAAATTTTCTATGCTGAGTGTGTATTAATTCTTTTAGCTAAGTGAATAGGGGCATTTAATATGAGAATATCACCAGAGATGTTGATGTATGTCACCTATAATTAAAAACTAAAAATAAAAACATGATATTTATAGCAAATATTTACAGAAACCAACTTTCATATAGTTACTCTAGTAATAGAGTATGTAACTGCTACTTAGAAGTTTTTATTTCTCATAACCCTTATACTAACTGAGCTATTTTATGCTTATGTAAAGAAAACATACTTCATCTGTACACTCCTCACTGGCACATGCCCACAGTCACAGTCTAATCTGTCTTACCACAGGAAAGCACCGTGCCAAAACAACATAATCAATACCAAATGTCATACTTGCCTACTCAATGGTGAAGCTTCTGAACAGGTCTAATATAGGTGTCCTATCTCATCACAGAAAGTAAAATGCATTAAACTAATCAGAATCCACTATGCATTTAGAGGTTTATCCTTAACTATACAGCTCTTCAAATGAGAGTTGATGAAAGAAAGGCATAGGGAAAACGTATCCCAACTTCCCCATCTGATCAAAAAAAGAAAAGTCCAGTTTTTAGCTATTCTCCTACTGATATATTTTTCATCTCTAAGTTCATTTTCCACAAAGCACAATGATAACATTCATGAGCTCATAATCTAAGTATAGGCTTTCTTTAAAAGGACTCATTTAAACACACAATGATAACTGGTAAAAAAAAAAAAAAAAAAACCCTACAATTCATGGTTTTAAAGAATACTTCAGGAAAACCATTAATGCACACAAAAGCACATCCAAATCCTTTTTGGTTCCCACAGTTCAAATGCCAACAAAGCTACTGAACAGCTGTGAAACAGACTAAGCCTGAGAATTGG